TAGATTATTATATTTTTATAGAATGTAGTCATTAAGATAGTTTAGTAGTTAGATTTTTGATTATTTGATATTTCAGTAATTATTTATATTTGTTATATTGTTTGTAAAGCGCTTTGAACATCATAGGTAAAAGCGCTATAGAAATAAAGTTATTATTATTATTTATTATTATCATATCTTATCCGTGAGGTATCTTGGCTGTGCTGTGCCCTGCCGTTTTACAGATATGCGATCTCTAGCTTAGTTGAGACATTGCTCTTATGTGTTCATTTGACTCCCGTTCCTCGCTCACTTGAATAGAAACATTCTTTTTCCTCACTAATTCAAAAGCAAACAATTTTCAGCTAATCTCACTTACCTTGAGGCTGACCAAACTTCAAAGTTGGCGGAATTTTCGTTTCTTCGTCTGGAAAATTCTGGCCAGGTATGGACGGTTTTTGTAATGCAATAACATTTTTGCAGAACGTCTTAGGATTTCCATTTTGAGGCAGGGGAGAGAAATAAAACGAACATTCACTGATGAACTTTTCAGTTGTCTTGGTGTACTTCAACTCAATATCCTGGTCATGTTTAGTATTCTCATCGCTCTGGCAAACAAACCAGTACCAATGTGCTGTCGACATTATCTGCATCGACGAAGGGTACATTGCTGTGGTTAAAATATGGAAGGTGGCTGCCTTAGCTAAAGAAATGAAAAGGAAAAAATAATACCTAGATAAGCAGTCAAAACATCGTCACACTCTGGTTTTGATAGTTGGATACGTAGTTCAACAAAAATATTAATTATCAACACTTCTTAAGTTCTTAATTTTTTATAAAGAGCATATATTTTTATATCTATTCAATATCTATTTGGTAATATATTTGGTAATTCATTGTGTTATAGGACCAAAATCTCTCTACTGAGGCTTCCTCTTTAAACATTTTTTTATTATATTACCAAATTTCGTGCTTTTTTCTATTGGAGCTAGCACTAGCTTGTAGTTTTTTTGCGTCAAATAATAACCAGGCAAGCAGGCAGACTCAAATGCCAAACGAAACTTTCCAACATCTAGTTCACGTATATTAAATCCATAAACAATCTTGAAGAAGTGGCACCCAGATTTTAATCGAATATGGTTCTCCACAGAACGGAAACACGTGTTTAATGTGCCATTTGTCTGAGTGTCAGGGATATCCATGGAATGAATAGCATAGTAAGCACCAAGGACCACTATTGGAACAAACAAACAAAAGTAAAGGTTGGAATATTTTAGGATAAAAGAAAGCGCATTCATAACTACTTGAACAATAGACGCTGCGTAACAATTGAAGGAAAAACTATACAAAAAAGTCAATATTCACAGAAAGACTGAGAATAGACCTCCTCGGCTTGGGGTAATGTTTTCTCTTTTCAGACCACGTGTCATCCCCGTGAGAACAAGATTCTTTGTTTGAGCTGTATCCATATTCATGTGTCTTCTCATGTGCAACCGAGCGCAAACCTTAAACAAAGAAATGATACTCCAGGGAATGGCATGTGGTCTGAAATGGGAAAACATTACGTCAGAGCCGAAGAGGTCTATTGGAACAGGCACATTACAAACAAAATTACAGCTAGAAGTAGAAGCAATAATGTCCGAATGAATGGATTGATGGATAGATGCATGGGGTTGGTTGGTGCATAGATCGATCTATCAAATTATTATTTTAATAATAAAAGTATAGAATTAAGAAAGAAAATATGAAAGAATGGGTAGAATCCAAAAAATATATATATGACAACTTACATTTACTGGCAAATCCGAGTTCACTGACAGCTTTTCTGGCCATGGCACCAGGGTCTTCACCATTTTTGGGTTCATACACGTATTTAGTAAGATGTTGGAAAGGCCCTCCAAGGACTAATTTAGGGTTCAAAGATCCATTCGTCAAGATCTTAGTGTTGGGATCCACATTTGGTAATATAGATACCAGGGTTGTTTCAGCTTGAGTTTTGCTGCCTGCAAAGTGGCTTGTTTGTGGTGAATTTAAATCTGGRTCTCCAGTGCTGGTGAATCCATTGTTTGAGACGGTTGAAGCATTTTGAGAAAGTGATGCTGCTGCAGATGCTCCGCCAGCTGCTGCTGCTCCTGCCCCAACAGCTGTTCCTGCTCCTGTCCCCGCTGCTGCCCCTGTTGCTTGTCCTCCTGTGGCCCCTGCTCCTGCTCCTGCTCCTGCTCCTGCTCCT